CTAGGTGCGTTCCAATAAGTCTTCCTACCAATATGACCATGTTGCGAAAACAAGGTCAAACAACCTCCAGTATGAGAGGAGTTTATAAGCGTTCTATATGTGAAATAAGAAGGTTTTGCGTGATCGATTACTGCAAGTTTCATGCGACCTAACTAACCGATATCGCGAGAAATAGTGAATAGAAAATAGTAATTGTATTTATTATATCATGTTATTTAGTGTACCTCTACTGCTCCGCAAACTGTACATAGAAGAGGTTTGGTTTCGTTTTCACAACTTGATCTTGTTGTCAGAGCGACCAAAGTGAACTCACATTGTCTGGAGTCCTTTGTCATAGTAGTAATGATGAGTACCAGCGTCAAACCGCGGATTTGGTACGAGTCTGGAACTTATTATGACTTGTATTTCAAAAAACTCAGAATAATGCAGACTCATTTGGGTCTCTTTCTACTAATACGACCAAACTAGAAAAACGAATTCAACACATCTTGATAGAATAAAAATGGAAACACGAAGACGATAAAGACCACACTATCTTAGTCTTCATATCCTAGCTGGTGAAGACCCTTTGGCATTTTAGCTCAGCCTCTTAAATTGAACAAATAAATAATTGTTATAAATTCCGGCTGAAGTGATTGGATGAAGTGTTAATAAAGTCATATGCATAAAACATCTTGCCTGAAGTTGGGCGTCCTAGACAAGTCAGTGGTCCACGCGGCTCTGGGCAAAGATGGCCAGTGAACTGGCGCAGCGATGCCTGCATTCTGGCTCCACAAAATCTGAGCCCGACATGCCCAACTTGGCGAGACTGAACCATGCAAGCAGTGCTCAGGCATCGATCGGGCGGCGGTCGCAGGCCAGACAGGGCGGACCGGCTCTTTGGCCTCGTATCGATTGGCTGACTCAAATTGAAGTTGACTTGACTGTGAGACAGGAGAAAAAACGTTTGGCCTGAAATGGCCCTTTTGGTGCGATCGCGTGCGATTGGAATGTACGAAAACTGGGTCAGAAGGAGCGGGAAAATGGGGCCGTACGAAATGACGATGTGAACGGGCTTGAGTGCAGAAAAAAGTGATGCGCGGATGATGCAAAGTTTACTTGCGTGTAGAACGCCGTTTCTAGTCCTGCCATCTTTAACCCGTTTCACCATCATCATCATCATCATCAGCAGCAGCACTAGCAGTGCCATCACCCTCGTTTGGCCCATCGCACACTTCCGCTGCATCGAGCCACTGCGGCTGGGGCCAGTCTTGTCCGCGAATTGTTCCTCCTCACTTTGTCTAAGATACTGTGCGTCTGTCCTAGTGCAGTCACAGGCTTTACATACCCGAACGACGGGAAATGAGGCAAACCACTTACTTTCAGCTGTCCTGTCTCTTTAATCGAGCCGGAAGCCGGCGCTAGAGTCTACGTCTGGCCGATTGAGAGAGTGTGCACACGAACTTTTGTGAGGCATGGTGGATGTCTGCCGGTACACACCAGGCAACTTTCAAAAAATACCACAAAGCTATGAGTAAAGCCGAGAGTAAGCGATACGGAAGAATATTGCTGCAACTACATACATTTCGCCAAATGTCTCGTCGAATTTTCCAGCAAATTAGTGAACAATTTGCCCAAAACACTCAAATTGTTGAGTAATTATACAAAAATTATGCTCAAAGGATTCGAAATTTTGGTGAGAACTCCTCCATTGTCAGAGAGTTGCCAACGCTTTTTAGCATTCCGGTATATTAGAACAGACCTGTAGTTGAACGTTAGTCCTGCAAACGATTTTAGTATGTTTCCCACATTGCAACTGGGACAGTGTGGCCTATAAGACTAGTTTTCCGCATCAGAAACCTCACGTCCTGGCCTCTGGTCCTATCTATTTAGGCTGTGAAATATCGAAATTCTGGTCAAAACGGGATGAAAAAACGCATTATAGAAGCGTAGATGAGAGAGAGTAAATGGAAAATGTTGATCTTTCTCTCCTCAATTT